TTGTACATTCAACCATTTGAACTTATAAACATGGCGACCATTGGTATAAACCTGTTACTATGGCCACTTCCGTGTTTTAAAATTAGAATGACAATATACATTTTACCATATGCATTAGGGTTGCCAGCCTCCAGGTGGGGCCTGGGGATCTCCCGCTTTTACAGCTGAACTCCAGCTGACAGAGATCAGCTCCCCTGGAGAAAATGGCTGCTTTGAAGGGTGGACTCGATGGAATTGTACCATGCTGAGGCCCCTCCCCTCCCCTGGATCAACCCTCAAAGTCTCCAGGCATTTTCCAACCCAGACCTGGCAACACTCATATGCATTCAGTCAGAACCAGGCCTTGCCAGGACCTCATAGGCCTCCTAAGCAGATACAACACAGTCTTGGCTCTGTCCAAACATCAGTAATCTATTTAGTTCTGAAAATCCAGTGCCGTAGAAGCTTGCCTTGAGGGATGTTCTGGGCATACATTCTGTGCTCAGATGTGCCACATTGGCTCACCATCGCATTCGGGCAGCCAGCAAGTCAGCTGCTCAGGCCTACAAAAGAACCTTCTGGAGTCTGTTCATTATTTCTTCTTTTCTAGTAGGCCTGATCTAGCAAATTCTGCATTTGGATCTCTGTGGTAATTCAGAAACTCAAATATTTGTTTCTGTTATGGTATGCTGGAACACACAAGTGTTAACTATTAATTTAATTATTATTAAAAATAAATGTGTTCTATTTTGGAGTCTACCCAGAAGTGGGCCTCAAAAGGCCTACTACAAAGGGAGACAAAAGGTGTGTGGTGTGACCCCCCGTTTCTATTCATAATTCGGATCTTTTCTGAAAATCATATTGTCTTTCAGGTGATACATGGGGGGGGGATTTGGAGCATATACAACATTTGACAGACTTGTCTAGATTTTCCAGTTCTGTGCTTCTTGGCAAGTAGCCCCCTGAAATACTTTTAGAACAGGTCTTCCTTTCAAAGAAGTTTAACAGAATACTTTCAGAAGTGAAGCTAGTTTGTGATCTTAAACAAGAGAGAGTAGCTCAGTACACTATTTAACATTGCTTTAGAACCAAGTTCCATAATATCATGTTTTTTTATAGAATTCATTGAAGTTAATAAAATGTGGTCTGATTAGGGTTGCCAAATGTATCTTCGCCGGGAGCAGGGGGCTCCCGGCTGGCGTCTTGTGCGCGCATGCGAAGTGCGCCCCCCCCCGCACGCTGATTCCACGGTGTCGGAAATCGGGCCTCCAAAGCGGAGGTTTATCCCCCCCCCCACTTGGCAGCCCTAGGTCTGATAATACTGTTCAAGAGTATGTTTACTAGCTTTTATTGTAAAGACATTTGGTCTAAATTATCTCGTAATTATATGTAATGCATTTTATAGTTGCTGTTTGTATGTTTGGCTTAAGACCTCGGGTCAATGAAGCTAATAAATGAAATGGAAATGGCTTAGAACCAAGAAAGCTTCTTTACCTTTTACAAAATTATAAAACATTCCCTGAAGTATTTTTGGCTTTCTTTCATAGTTTTTAAAAGTGTTTAGAGAAGGGAGCACTCACTGGAAAAGACCCTGATGCTGGGAAAGATTGAAGGTCAAAGAAGAAGGGGACAGCAAAGAATGAGATGGTTAGACAGTGTCATAGATGCAATGAACATGAAATTGAGCAAACTTCAGAGGACGGTGGAAGACAGGAGGGCCTGGCGTGATCAGGTCCATGGGGTCGCGAAGAGTCGGACTCAACTGTGCGACTAAACAAGAAGAAGAAAGGCCTCCCTTACAAACCTACTTCTAAGGTGCTTTATGCAAAAGGGAGTGAATAGTAAAATACAAGATTACCAGTCAAGCACTTGCAATCAGCAAAACAGCAGGAAAGCAGGGACTTGGAAGTGATATCACTGCATTGGGGCACCACTCTAGGATTTACCCAACACCCTATGTTTTAACCAATTGGAACAGTGTGGCCCAGGGCAGAAGGACCTGGCCACCACAGCAAAATATACTCTCATATTACAGGTCTTGTAAAAGAAGTCCCCTAACATATGATCTTAACATGGATACCATGGATAGCAAGCCAGATAATTAAGGGGACTGTACTTTAGTTTGTTTCACTTAAAAGAGTTTCTAATAGAACATATAAAACACTACATCTTCAAATGTCTGTTAATAGTACAAACAGAAGTAGTTCCTTTTCTATGTTTATTTGGGTATCATCCTAATAAAGGGGCATACTGTTTCATATACTTCATTCAGTTATAAATATATTGTTGTTTGCTTTAAACATAGTACATGGTGAACTTGGAATAGTAGAGAAAATGCACACACACAGATTGGTACCGATGTAAGGCTCTGAAAAGAAAATATTGAAATGTATATAAATGCATGATCTGTGTGGCTCCAACCAGAATGCACATCAGATCACACCAAGGAATGACTGCATCATGATTTTCACACTGGGATAAGTATTTTTTTCTGAATTTCTAAAGGCACACCTATGTTTCTAAAAATAAACTACCAACAATATAACACTCTTATTGTTTTCTCATCTATCTTAAGAAAAGCTTGATTCATATTATTCAAAGGAAAAACAGTACATTTTTGATATACTGGAAATAATGTCTATTTCAGTAGAGAAACTTAGAGTGCTATCCTAAATAGAGTTATGCATCCATAGAAGTCAGTGGTCTTAGCAGAGTCCAATTCTGCTTACAATGATACTGATATTGATACATTATAATTTCATCCTCTGTAATATTAGCAATAATCTGTGTGAGGCAAAGCTCCCCTGGCCTTCCCTGAAGGGTTAATGTGAATGGTAACAGGCCTGGTCCATCCTGCAGATGTTACTAATTAGTCTCTTGGCCTACACAGCCCTTATCGTCTTCAGGGCCAGAGATGGAAGTGTGGTAATTAGCTTCTCATGAGAACATACGGCCCATAGGTTGGGAGGGGAAGAATCAGGGGTGAGGTAATCTTCTAGAGCAAGGGTGTGAAACTTGTGGCCCACAGTGGAACTGGCTGTCTTCTGCTTCTTCTTCCAGTTCTGCTGCTGCTGCGTCATTGTAGGTTTGCAGCTTATAGAAACACACCTGAACAGCATACTCGAGATTGCAACAGCACAGACATTTTGACATAATAATTCAGAGCAAGAGGTGTCAGTTATCTGACACCGCTAAATAAACAAAATATCGCAAGAGTGCTAATGTTTTAAGCATGTTTTTAAGTTTAAAAAAAACCCTTTGTGTTTATGTCCTTTATAAAGTTTACATCTCCGCTCCCTGGCATTACATTTTATGACACACATGGCCTGGTCCAACAAAGTCTCATTATGTCATATCCGGCCCTCATTAACAAATGAGTTCGACACCCCTGTTCTAGAGGCTTCTCCTGACAACATGTCATCACCTGATGTTGTTTGGCCAAAAAACTATAATTGAGTTAAGACCCCGAAGAAGAGAGACTAGCTTGGATTCTGTTGGACTAAAAACCTAGATAGTTACACTAGTTTTCTTGATTTCCTGCTGCATGATTTTAGAGTGGTGTATTGCCTTTATTCTGACAAAAGTTAAACAAAACTTCATAAACATTTAAAGAATTAAAGTCTGGTTACTTGTGTACAACTGCCCTGTTCAGCCTTGGACTCCTTGACAGTCTGCAATAAAATGTAATTATGACAAGGTCTTTACTCTCAGAAAAGATAGCCACTATAGGCCATAAACAGCTTAAGATAAAATGCTTTTACTTAAAAGGTTCTCTGTGGAGGTAGTGCAAGTGATCCAGCTCTGGTCTGTGGATTGCTTCTATTTCTCTTCAAGCAATTCTCAGAAGTTCTCATTACCAATCTAAACGGCATTATCCAAGGACTACTGCATTATCCAATGAGTGTGCCTTTAAGGATGTCATCCTACAGAAAGCATACCGTCACATTTCCCAGATCCTTTGGTGTCACAGTGATTGAGAAAGCATTTAATTAAAATACAGCATAGCTGTGCAATCTATATTAATTTAGATTGTACAGAAATATTATTTGCTTTTTCTGGCAGCAGGCTAGGCATAGGGTGACTGTTTAAGGCGGTGGTGCACTAGAAAACTCTTCTGTTGTATTGTGGCTCAAAAGACAAAAGGTGTGTAGTTCCTTAGGAGGAAGTGTAGGGTACCCATGACTACCAACTCAGCTACCACTAGTGAGAGACTCCACTGAGGTTCAAATATGCGTCCACAAAATTAGATAAGACCAATTTTGGAAGATATTTTAAACATTTTGGCAAAACTTTGTGCAATGGTTACTCTGGAAAACTTGTCGTTGGCTTGGATCCTATTAAATTTTCACACACACTAGGTAGTCTCTGTGCCACAGCATACTTCCTCTTCTGCTAAAATGCCCACTTGCACTAAATCAGTGGTTTTCAGTAGGCCCTTGGGCAAATGGAAGTTTTTGGAGGTCTTTTCTTCTTCCATGACTGCAAATCTCTACTGATCTAATAATAGGTTTTGGTTTGTTTTCAGCCGTGGAACCTAGGCTGACTCATCCGGCTTGGAGCTGAAGGCTATCCAAACTGGAGAGGTGGTCTTGCTCTGTCCCAGGACAGTCACACAAAAATGTACATAGCCCTCCCTGGAGCAAGAGGAGGCGTGACCTAACCAGCTTGGATGACTTCCTCCACTGAAGGAGAAGCAGCACGTTGTGCAGAAATGACTACTGAGCACACAAAGAACTCTTTCATAGAATGCAAGCCAATATCTTATTCTAGATTTTCAAAAGCTATGAGTTTATCAGAGAGCCAGTTTGGTGCCGTGGTTAAGAGCGGCAGGACTCTAATCCGAAGAACCTGGTTTGATTCCTCACTCCTCCACATGAAGCCTGCTGGGTGACCTTGAGTCAGTCACAGTTCTCTCAGAGCTCTCTCAGCCCCACCTACCTCCCAGGGTGTCTGTTGTGGGGAGAGGAAGGGAAGGTGACTGTAAGCCGCTCTGAAACTCCTTCTGGAAGTGAAGGGTGGGGTATAAAACCAATTCTTCTTCTTCTTTCACCCCTGTATTTCTTAGAGATCTATCTGGCAGTTACAAAACTCCTTCAAATCAATCATCATAGTGATTTTTAAACAAATTCTCTCACAAGAGAGGGACCCAGAAAGACTAGTGTCACATAGGTACAGCCATTCCTTAAAGATGCCTGCTAATATGTGGTTTAAGACAACAGGGTTTATTTCAATGGAACTCTGACATGTCCCTTTTCCATCCCACATTTACTGGAATTAAAAAAGATACAATATGAAAAGTTATAACATACACATGTCCTTCCAGAATCACAGTGCTTACTAATGCCTATCAATTACTCTAAAAGTTATATGGAATGGCGAGAGCGATCTTTGGTACTGCGAGCTGCACTGTTATACTGTTCCGTGGGCTGCATCCAGCCAGCTTTTCCAGCCAATCTTGCTTAATGCCCGGTCTTACTACAACCCCCACCCTGCATGGCTTTTGTCCACGTAGGTCCCAGAGCCCCAGCATAGCCTTTTTAGTGGTCAAAGGGGATCCCTCTCCTCCTTTTTTCACCAATGGAAAAGCTGGTTGGATCCAACCCACTGTCTTTACATAGTCGATCTCTGTCCAGCGTCATCAAGATTGAGATTTTGTTTTCTGGCCTCTCTACTGAACTCTAAATTAGATTTCTCTGTATCCTTGCAGTCCTTCATAGTTGCCCCCTCTTCATTACCCTCACGCTTTCCTCCACTTTTTTGTTGGATTTCAAGCGGACGCTTCCAGCGGGGTCTAGTTACTATCCATAAAACAATACCACCGAAGACCACAACGAGAACGCCAAGAGTGTTGACAAAGACAGCTTCTTCTGGAGAATCTTTGTAGGCAGGTGCTTTCCTTATGAGAAAGAAAATTACTGTAAGAGAACAAACTAATTTAAAATCATTTTTTTTAAAAAAGGTCGAGAATACTTACAAGGCAAAAATAAGTTTTTCTGTAATTCCCATTAGTACCGTTGCAATCACGGTTCCAAAGAGGAAAAGGCCAGAGTAAACATGGATCGGCATAATCTTTGCCCGAAGATAAATGGGAGCAAAAGGAAGCAGGAAGACTACAAAACCTAGAACAAGCTAAGAAGAAAGAGTATTGAGTTATTTTATTGGTAAAATTCACTTTGAAATGTTACAGAGACAACAGTTTGTTCCTGAGGTGTGGCTGTTAAAGCCATCTTTTCGGCACTGTTGCTAGCTGAGCAGAGAGAGTGGGATAGACAAATGCCAAGTTAAGCCTTGTCCTTTTTCAAAGCTCTCACAAATGAATTTCCACACATGGTGGAACTGTTCTACGGCTGACAACTATTAGGAGATTATCTGAAAGCTATGCAGGAGGGGAGCAGCTGTGGCCCAGTGGTAGAGCATCTGCTTGGCGTGCAAAAGGTCCCAGATTCAATCCCTGGCATCTTCAGCTAAAAAGGCCCAGGTAGTACGTGATGTGAAAGACCATGACCTCACACCTTGGAGAGCTGCTGCCGGTCTGAGCAGATACCTTAGACTAGTTGCTGCCGGTCTGAGCAGATAATACTTGCCCTAATGGGTTTAAATTACAAGTGGAAAGGTCCAAGCTGGATATTAGGAATTTTTAAATCTTACAGTGAGAGTAGTTCAGCAGTGGAATCAGCGACCTAGGGAGGCGGTGAGCTCCCCCCCCCCCCCGGCACCCTTAGCAGCTGGACAAACTTGTCAGGGATGTTTTAGGCTGATCCTGCACTGAGCAGGGGGCTGGAGTGGATGGTCTGTATGGCCCCCTTCCAAGTCTTTGATTCTGTGATTCTACTGACTTTGATGGACCAGTGGCCTGGTTCACTATAAAGTAGCTTCATGTGTTCATGCATTCACATCACAGGATCCTGTTTGCAATTTCCCTCTTTATATATATTTTTTTCTTAATCAAGTTAGTGTGTAATGGTGAGTGATTATCAAGAGACAGTACTCTTAGGCCAGCAAGATTTGCACTGGAATATACTGAACATCTCTAAAACAACCCATAAGCATATATAGAAATAGACTCCGCTTATTTAATAGGGAAATAAAGATTACTTAGGAGGCCAAAGAATGCTTTGCTGCAACTTTAAAATAGTAAAGCTGAAAATGAGTGTCTTTTACTTGTAAGCTTTGTCAATAACCTGTAGCAATGAATCTGTGAATCATGAAGTGCTCAGAAGCTGTTTAGATGCTTACACACGAGTCACCCTACGAAAACATACGCTTTATGAGAAGACTGAATGTTCACTTGAAACTCTTTGAGAAGTAGCCACATAAATGCTCATTGTTGTGTATGATTAAATGGCTTTCATTCCAGGATCTTAAGGAAACAAAAGGTGGGAGGGCGGAACTAAACAAACAGTGCAGGATTCTTTCAGCTTAAGTAACATAAGGATCATTTCCTTTGTAATTCATTATCCTGATTTGCTGTTTAACCAGTTTGAATAAATACTGGTTAATGTGCATTTTTTCTACAATTTTTTTCTGCACATCTCAGTAATCTTGAAACAGTCTTCTGGCAAAATAAACTATCAACCACTAAAATCTCAGCTAGGACATTCCTTGTGAGTACCTTCAAATTTAATAGACAACCACAACACTCAAAAACTGGGCATCAATCCATGAAACTAGCCAACCTGGACATGGGGAGTCAATGCTTATCCTAGGAGTGGGTCCTTTATTTACTCCTTTTTCTTAAAAAATGGCTGTCAAACTCCTAATACAACAGAACCATCTTTCTTATGTGAAGCGTCCTTTTTGAGGGGTGGGGGACAACAGTAATATTAAATACTTGCGTCAAGTTAAATATTCTTGTTTTGTGAAAAAATGTTGCTCTTTTTGCTTTGTATAAATTGAAGTATTTTCTAGGCACATGTGCCAACGGCAGGTGGCTCTCATGGAGAAACTACAAGTAGAGCTGAAATGACGTTTTTTACTGATACCGTCTCAATATGAGCAGAATGACACAAAAGACAGAAATGGTCTTGCTCTGTGTATAATTTGTTTTTAATTTTGTCTTTGCTCCCAGGACAACAGAGAAGAAGATATTTGCTGGCATTTCTCCTTAGTGTGGGAATTACTTCAAATTCGTTCTCTCTGCTGTGTCTTTTGGAAGGAAAAACCCCCCACTGATTTTAAATGTTGTCTTTATTTCCAAACTGGCTGCGATCTGGTGAAGTCAGCTCTAAGATGCTGGCCAACTATGTTCCCTCTTCCAGCATGATTACCAGACTGGGAAGAAAAATGTGTTTTCCAATTCCAAACAAGGAATTTGCAAGTTGAAATGCATAAATACAATTTACAGATTTGTATAATGGATTCTGCCAAGTCTGGCTTACTTGAGTACAAAATTTTGTGTTTAGAACTGTGCTGAACAGAAACCACCAATTAAAGCTAATCAGCGCAGGCCGTTCAGCTGGGAAAGCATATTGCTAATAAAGATAAAGATAAAACAGAACATCTTACGCACTTTTGAAATACTGTTTATAAACAGCGTCTAACCTGTAGAGAATACAGAATGACGGCAATCAACCCAATCCAGCTGTGCAGACTGTACATGTTAGGGATCTTCGCGGTGTTATGGAAATCAAAAACAGCCACCAGTGAAATAATTGCAAGTGTCAGAGCAATGGTATTTAACCCAGCGTGGATTAATTTCATCAGAAATTTGCTGCATTTCCTGGTCCATGGTAACCGGTACACAACAATGGCTAAAGATTGGGGGAAGGGGGGGGGAGAAAAAGAAAAATGTGCACATTTAGAGAGCAGTGTAATGTTTACATTCTCTAAACAATTTGAGTCTATTAAAGCCTTGTTATCAGCTTTCAGAAATTTAGCTACAAATCTGGTTAACGCTCAGCTAAAAAGCCATAAAGAGCAGGGGAAGGGGCGCATCCAGTCTTCCCCCTCAAAACGCACAATTTTTCATGGGATGTTGGCTACTGAATAAGCAGCAGCACCCACCAATGGAAAATGCTATCAGGGCCGAGACATTATTTTCCCCTTTACTTTGGCACGCTCCTTTCACGATGTTGCCTCTTTCCTTATTCCTCCTATGCCATTTCAGAAAGTGTTCCCTGTATAATAATTCCCCAGCACATGGCAGAAAGCTTTCCTTAGGACACTTTCCCCACCTGCCTCTGTATGCATCTGTGCCCATCTTGTAGGACAATGGTATTTGTTCCCCCAGCAAACTTGTTTTACTTAAATGAAGATGATTTAAAACCAGAAAGTGAAATGATAATTAAATCGACAATTTAAAGCCATTCTCATTTTCTGATTCAAGCATTTTGTTGGCAAAAAGTATAGCCTAACATGCTTCTATAAAAATGAAGATATTTTATTACATATATTAGCTGCCTTTCTCCTAGGCTTGCCAAGTTACCCGCCGCCGGTGGATCGGGCCCCGGGGGGCACCCCACCCCCAAAGCACGCAACATGCCTGGCGGCAGCACGTAACCCACAGGTGATGTAATCGACGTGCCCGACATGATTGCGTCACTTCCGGGTGATGTAATTGCGACTCCCGGACCAGCGCTGGACTCCCCCACTCTTCATAAGGTAAGGACTTGGTGACCCTACTTTCCCCCTTGAGGAACTCAGCATCTAAATAAATAACATCTCCTGGCAGTCCCTGGCCCAAAAGACATCCATCTTGCCTTGAGTAAGGCCAGGGCCTTCTCTGCCCTGGCCCCTGCCTGGTGGAACATGCTCCCCACTGAGATCAGAGTCCTGCAGGAGCTCCTTCAACTCCACAGGGCCTGTAAGATGGAGCTGTTCCACCAGGCCTTTGGCTGAGGCAGTGGACATCCATGTATGGCCTCCCTGAGGTTTCTGTCACCGATCCAACAACTACTGGCTATTATCCATGTACCAATAGGCCAGGGAATTTCTCGCAACCAGCTAATCTTCTGGTCTTTGGGTTGTGACCACCATTTTAATGTTTATTATGGTGTTTTAATATTTTAATTATGTATTGTACTTCTGAAATGTTGTTACCCACCCTGGGAAGGGCTATAAATATGAAGAGATAAATAAGAAACAATATAACAATTGGAAAAAATACATTAAAACAATATAAATAAAACAACATAAAAATACATAAAAGGTCACAATTTAGATGTAGAAACTCCAATTAGGGCTGCCAATAAATAAAACCTGAATGAGTCAAATGTAGTTCTAAATAAAGCTGCCTTCGACTGCCTCCTGAAGACTGACAGTGAGGGGGCCAGACACACCTCCCTGGCGAGGATGTTCCATAATCATGGGCAATGCTCCCTCTAAGCTGCGGAGTTTTGTGAGCAAAAATTCTACTTAGTGAGCTATTGGCATTAAAGTTGTGAGCAAGCACTTTGGCTGCTGCATAAATTAGTTTGCTCTGGAGTTATCTTTCCTGAGCTCAGACAGAAATGTGTCAGCTAGAAGCTAAAACACTGTGAACTAGCTCACACTAACTCAGCTTAGAGGGAACACTGATCATGGGGCTGCCACCAAAAAAAGCCCTCTCTTGCGGGCCCATGAGATGAGCCGCTTGGATTGACAGGATGGTGGAGGTGGAGGAGGAGAGATTGGATTTATACCCCGCCCTTCACTACCCAAAGGAGTCTCACAGTGGTTTACAATCTCCTTTTCCTTCCCCTCCCCACAACAGACACCCTGTGAAGTAGGTGGGGCTGAAAGAGCTCTTTTGAGAACTGCTCTTTTGAGAACAGCTCTGATAGAACTATGGTTTGCCCATGGTCATCCAGCAGCTACAAGTGGAGGAGTGGGGAATCAAACCCGGTTCTCACAGATTAGAGTCCACACACTTAACCACTACACCAAACTGGCTCAGGAGGGCCTCTTCCTGTGATCTTAATTCTTGGGCAAGAATGTATGGGAATATATATGCAACTAAACAAAGACTTTATATTACATAAGAGGTTAAAGGAACAGGCCACAACTCACAGGAAGTGGGCATGCTTGGTACATAAAGACCAGGTTGAATCCACGCATCAGCTGAATATGCACAGAGGCTGTACTATAGCAGTCCTTTGCAAGTGGATTGTCTAGTCCACGCAGGAAAATCCATTTCCAAATGACTGCTATAGTGCCATGATCATGCAATATCCAACAAGGTGTAGACGCAGCCTACACAAGGTTAGGTGGTAGACCCCCTGCTCCAAACATCAGAAAGCTGCTGCCAGTCAGTTATTGCCTAGATGGTAAAACAGTTGGACACCATTATGTTTGACCCAAAACCTCTGGTCATGTAGCCCATATGCCTTTTGCATGACACAATTGTCTCTGTTTTGAGATAAGAGGACACGTCTATTTGTTTTTGTGTACTCATGCAAGGACACTAAGCTAGATAACTTTCTTGAAGATAAGCACCTCAATCCCTGGCCCGAGAGAAGTCCGACTGTCCTTGACCAGGGCCAGGTGGAACACTCTGCCAGAAGATGTCTGTGCCCTGCAGGAGTTGTTACCTTTCCACAGGGCATTCAAGGCAGAGATCTTCCACGAGGCCTTTGGTTGAGGACAGCAACAGGACTTCTTTTGGCACTCTCAATTCCCCATCCCTTATAACCCCTCCCCCCAGGGGAGACTGGGGAGTTAGGATTTCTCCCTCATCTTATATATTGTATATACACTGTTTTTACTTACTAGTATGTACTGGACTGTTTTAATTTAGTTTTATATCGAGTTGTAAGCTGCCCTGAGCCCTGCTTAAATCCAAATAAATAAATAAATAGTACAAAGGTAGGCAAGACAGACTGTGGGTTAACCATCTAGAAGCAAGGGTGGTAACCATCACAGAAAATCATTGTAAATAGCCATACTATTTGGTTGAATCTAAAGTATCCATGCCCTGACCTAGATGGTCCAGGCAAGTCTGATCTTGTCAGATCACGGAAGCTAAGCAGGGTCGGACGTGGTTCGTACTTGGAGGGGAACCACCAAGGAATACCAGGGTTGCTATGCAGAGGCAGGCAATAGCAAATCACCTCTGAATGTCTCCTGCCTTGAAAACCCTACTGGGTCACTAAAAGTCAACTGCAACTTTATGGCACTTTCCACCACCAAAATATCCTTAAGGTTCTGCAGTACCAACCCATGACGCTGCTTTGAAAGTCAATATTCATCACATGCTTTATTATTTCTTACAGAAAATTAACAGTACTTTAAAGTTTAACAGAATGTATTTCTTCATAAGCTTTCTTGAATGAGAGCTTACTTCCTCCTCCAACGCACTGAAGCATACATTAATGTATTTCTTCATAAGCTTTCTTGAATCAGAGCTTACTTCCTCCTCCGACACATTGAAGCATACATCCATTAATAATAATTGTCATCAAGTTGCAAACAACGCACGGCAACCCCTCATGGGGGTTTTCAAAGAAAGAGATGAGCAGAGGTGGTTTGCCATTGCCTTCTTCTGCATAGCAATATCATTAAGCCTGGTTAAAGACCCAGCAGAAAGAGGGTGTTACAATGTAAGGCCTGTAGTAAAAGAAGATCCAATCAAAACAGCAATCCGTTCACTCAAAGCAAGTGTGAGATCCTCCCAAAGAGCATCTAAATATCAAATCTTAACGCATGACCCAACACCAAGTACTGAGTTAGAATTCATCAACAAATTCAAGACAATGGACAACTGGGACTTTGGCTGCCTGACTCACTATAGGTGCTAATCACGTTTCCCACTCACAATTTGCTGTTGTTATTTGGGCATGACTCATACCCAGTTTGAATGAACTGATAGCTTTTTAGATTAGATCTTGTTTTAACAGGGCTCTCTTTATAAAACCCTTCCCCGTTTCTGCTGGGTCTGATAGTTTTAGGCCAATTTCCCATTCCTTTGTGCCCCCTTCCCACACAGTTTCCTCCCTAAACTCCTCAGCCTCAACAATTTCATGTTCCTAATGGAGACACAGGGTTGAATCCAAACTAAACATTCCATCAGCAGAATAGAACTTTCCTGCTCTCCCCCAAAGCCCACTAATATTCAGGAAATGCTGCTCCTGGGGAACCGGGGACCCTAAAACAATGTTGGGGAGGATGCAATGGGAACAGGAAAGTGGTGGAAACGGCCAGCTTAGTCTGGATCCAACCCACAGTATTGCTGTTGAGCATGCCCAAGACTCTCATGCATATTCCTTCACCTCACCATGGTTAAACAAGGTGTAGCATTAGTGTAAGTTAGTGCCAACATGGTTAAAGCTAAACCAGATTCCCTTGGGACCAGGGTTCAACCAACTGGACACTAGTTTCAAGCTCTAGGATGGCCCTTGTTACCATTACTGTGGGTTAGCACCAAGACAAATGTAAAACAGAGGTCAGTTTCAGGGAGTAGCCATGTTGGTGCGCCGTACAACAACTAGTATCTGGCAAAAGGAGCTTTGACTCTCAAAAGCTTATACCCCCGAAATCTTGTTGGTCTCTAAGATGCTATCGGACCCAAATGTAGCTGTAAAATAGAGGGGAGAATGTGTGAAGATGTAACAGTATACTCCTAAATCTAACAGTCGCTAGAAGATCAGGAATGCTACATCTGCATCAGGCTTTTGAGAAAGGAAAATAGGTTTTGGAAGTATGATGGAAGTTGGAATCATGCAAAGTGGTAGGAGATGAGTGATGTAACTGATATGGTTTCTGATAGTGTCATAAAGGTACTGAAGCGTGTATACTCAAGTCAGTCTTCCTGAAGCTCTATCTCTAGCAATTCCTT